GACAGCTGAATTATGTATTGGTAATAAAATTATATCAATCGACCACTTATATGATATTATTAGTAATCGAGCATTTACTAAATTCAACCATTGTTTAACCAAATCTGACATTAACTCTAAAGATCGCCAAAATTTTAGCTCTTCTTTGAAATTAATATCTAATGATCTTCTTCAAATTTTAAGTGAGAATGTAAACACTCGAGGAACTTTGATTTATCTTCAAATGTTAAAAATTATCATAGCAGCTTATATTGAATAAAAAAACAACAATTGTTGAACGTAGGTATTCTGATTAACTATATTTATTAGTAGATAATAGACATCGTTTTCATTCAAAAAATGTCTTCATTCAGTAAAATTTTAATTTTAGGGCTACAATCTACTTAGCGTGTAGTCTTTCTATGTCGATTATGGTTCACATGGATTAAATTCAAAACATCCAACGCAACACAGACAACTCAAACTAATAAAAGCAAATATTTCATCACAAACGCAGCATATATGTCGGTAGAACTCAATGCCCATAATCTATTATTTTTAATTTTACTTGTGAAACAGAAACAATTACCACCACATGTGTTAAATATTTACACTTTTAATTCACAAGCTTGTGAATCTATATTTAGAAACACACGTGCATAAAGTGGAATTTACTCAACTGTCGTTAACTTTACTGTGCATGATTTTTTACAAAGAGCCCAAAAATTATCTTTGCTCAATGGTATTAAGTATCAGCAGTTGCATGATTAATCAGTTGAGAAATTAATCTTTCCCGTTCATTATAAACATTGAAATGGTCGGCAATCATTATCTACACAAATTAGTCGATCAAATAAATATTGAGAAAGTTATCGCCGATGCATATGATGAAGCTGTTGATATACTTGATGACTTAGAAGTACTGGACTTATTACAACAACAAAATGTTCTTGGTTTAAAGCGACTAAGTGAATACATATTCGGACATTTAAATACAAATTCTAAGATGTACAACTACTCATCTCAAGTAGATATCGTCGACACTGAGGAATTTGAATTAGCTGCAGATGATGATGACGAAACAACAGACGATTTTAATTGTGATGATTCTTTTTCGAATGATGATCCTACTGATGATGAAGAACAAGTTGTTACAACCGAATTCATTACTACTACGAAAAACATTTTTTTTGAATAAAAGTCTGTGATAAAATAAAACCTGACACTCCAAATACTTATTGTAAAGTTTCAATTAACAATCAAACAAAATATTTACATAAACAGTCTGCTTGTTGGTTATTAACCGACGAAAACAGTAAATTTTCAACTGATAGATTACTTCGAGTAATGCAGACTACTAAAGAACAATAACTGTTTTTTCTTGATATGATATCTTCTTCGCTTTTCTTTTCAATAAATGATTATTCTCTTAATAAAAAGTTGTAATAATAATTTGTGTGTTGCACGTGAATAGAAGACAGACAGTACATGCTTTTCCTGAAAACGGGATTTGTCAAAGCAAAAAAAGTACAGATAGCTACGAGGAACCTCCTCAATTGTTTATATCCTATCTGATATCATGATCGACAATAAAAAAAATAAAGAAATAACTGTGTTTAATTCTTATGAGGGGTTTTTGCAGAGAAATCGAAAATATTCTGAGATTCCATGGGATTCCATGGGATTCTATGGGATTCCGAGGGATTCCAAAGAGTTGGAGTCTGCCGTTCCCCCTTGCATATTGTACAGTCGTTCGAGATACTTGTGCCGTACACTTAAAACACTCGGCCAGTGCTTGGTACGTGTGGTATATATGAGCTGTAGTGTGCATATATATCATAAGCCTGCCAAATCCGTATTTATCTATATGGGTATAAAAAGTCGTTTATCAAACGAAAAATCAACAAAAATCCCGTTTGGTTGCGTATCAAAGCTAGAATATCAAATTCATCACACGTGAACAGGCCTTTCTTCCTTTATTGGCTTGCTTACGTGGACAGATTTTGCTTTCTTTGTTCGCCTGCTTACGTGGACAGATTTTTCTCTTTGTTGGCCTGCTTACGTGTCATAGAACGATCGTTCCGGACGTCTGTAACAGCGTTGTGATTGATATTAAACGGGTATAAAAGAACGAGTTTACTGGATTCATTTTCGCACTATATTCTTCATAACCCGTCATCTTGTTTTACGAGTCGTTTTTCTTTAGCAAATTAGCATCGTCTCTCTCCATATATTCACCGTCTTTAAGAATAACCAAAAACAGCGGCATATTAGTATTATATTGCATCATTTTATATCGTTTATTACCATTTCCGGCGTCGTTTTCGAGAGTCTCACGTATCGTATTTTCGAATCATAATGATTATTGCATTTCTTTTCTAGAAAATCCTTCTCGTTTTTTTTTTCATCTTTGTTCTGATTTAAACATGGTAAAAATTTTCGTCAATCATCCGAAAATCATTAATCTCTGTTCTATTTTTTTAAGACTTTGTGCTTTGATGGAAAGCGCAAATTATCCTTTCGTTCTGATCGTGTTAAATGTGTGGATATTCATTCAAATGAACTATGGATCTTAGCAACACTTTACAATGGTCATGCACATATCTACAATTATGATACTCAAGTAAAGTCGATCATTATATTTGCTTAACACGTGCTCATCATGTTATTTTTCTTTTTTAGCAATTAATAAAAACATTCGAAATATGTGATGTACCTGTCCGTACCGGTAAATTTGTCGCGCGAAAAAATTGGATTATTACTGCATCGGTAAGTATGATGTGCCATTTCAGCATCCAATCAGTTTCTTCTAGGATGATATGTTTGTTCGTGTTCATGATTACAATACTTTGGAACGAGTACATCAATTTGAAGCGCATGGTGATTATATTCGTTCAATTGTAGTTCATCCTACTCAATGCTGTATTTTGACTAGTAGTGGTATGTGAGAAAATAATGACCAGGTTCGGTTTGTTTAATCAGGTCTTTTGTCTAGATGATATGACGATTAAATTATGGGATTGGGACGCTCAATGGGCATTGAAACAAACTTTTGAAGGACACACCCATTATGTTATGCAAATAGCAATCAATCCAAAGGATGATAATAGTTTTGCTTCTGCTTCTCTTGATCGCACCGTCAAGGTAAAATGACCATCGAATTGATGAGTTTTTGAGTTGTTTCTTTTGTTCAATGGGAACAAATTAGGTTTGGCAGTTAGAATCTACTCAACCGACTTTTACTTTGGAAGGCCATGAAAAAGGTGTTAATTGTGTGAATTATTGTTCGGATTGTGATAAACCATATGTAGTTTCCGGTGGTGATGATCATCTAGTTAAAATCTGGGATTATCAAGTAAGATACACTTATTTATTCATTGGTATTTTCATTGATAAAGATACGTTCTATTTAAAACAGAACCAAGTTTGCGTAAAAACATTAGAAGGGCATTCACAAAATGTTGGTTGTGTGGCTTTTCATCCTGAATTACCAATTATTTTGAGTGGTTCTGAAGATGGAACAGTCAAATTATGGCGTTCGGATAGTTATTGTCTCGAATCAACATTGAACTTTGGTCTTGGAAGATGTTGGACGATATCATGTTTGAAAGGCTCGAATAATGTAGCTGTTGGTTATGATGAAGGAACATTGATGATTAAGGTAAAGAAGAAAATAAGTAGAAGAGAGACACAATGCAATTTGATTGTTTTAGTTGGATCGAGAAGAACCGGTCATGTCAATGGATGAATTAAGAGATAAAATCGTTGATTGAAGAAAAGAATGCAAACTACATTGCAATATCATTGTTAATGCATTCAAAAAATGAAGAGAACTTTATATGCTAATAAGATCGATCTTCTTAAATAATTGAACCAATAAATAATTTATCTTCATTTATTGTTATCAGAGAGTTCTATGAATAAGTACTGTTGCTTCTATCAATAATGAAAGAAAAATAATCATTGCTGCATGTATGATATGTTTTCAATGAGAAAAAGTAAAGTAAGGCATGAATCTTCAACTTTGACAAGTTACAGATTTGAATAAATCATTGATGGGAGGGGCTGTAACGCCCTAAGGTACCCAGCAGTGGACAATAATCTGATCGGTGGAAAAAAATGATCATTTTCAGCGGAAAAATGCAGTTCGGGTCAAAAATGCGATTTTAAGAATCAGTCGAACTATCCCACTCATACGCAGTCAAGACAGTTAATCATCATGAATATCTTTCAAGGGGAAAAAAGCGAGACTTTATCTGCTTCAAAAAGAAAGTAAAGTACGAATAAAATACAGTGAAGTATAAATGAAGTACAAGTGAAGTATGCACTCTTGAAGTCTCGCTTTTTCTTCCTTAATATATATACCAGAGTTGACAGATGTTAAACTCGAAAATCCGGAATGTAAATCTCAAAATCCGCAAAATCTCGGAATTTTTATTTTGAAACCCGGAAAGATTTTTGAGGATCAGTTTTAACCGCTTAAAATGCATTTTACTCGTATAGATTATGAATAACGATACTCTTTATATCTAAAAAATATATTTGAATAAAAAAACTACACATTAAAAATATAGTTAATTCAATTCTAAGAACTTAGCAATTACACATCTCGCTCTTAATTTACACGCTTTTTTAGTACAAACTGATTAAGACATTCCATGCATATTGACGTTTATCTGATTTATATTCTTTTCGAAATTTGAACTCATTTAACCATTCGAATCTGAATACTCCTGTTCTATTCTCTTCATCATTTTTTTTGTTGTAAATCACTTTCAGTTGATGTTTGTTGTGCTCTTGGTAATAGTTCATTTTCTACTAAAATTATCTGCCTCTTCGTTTTCATCAAATATTTTCAAAGTATAGCAGAAAAATAAATTCACAATACAAGTTATGGGTTTTTACTATCTTTGCTGAAAAAAAGAAAACCATTGAGTCTTCTAGGTAAGCCAACGGAAGGCTAATCTATAAATCCCTATCAAATCAGTAATGATTAGTTTAGAATGTTAACCAACAGATAAAATATAATTGAGATAGAAAATATCCAAAATTCTGAAAAACTTTCAAAATTCGGAAGATCTGGGAACACTGATATATACATATACATATCAGCATATATTCACTTTAGGAAAATGGAAAATTAGAGGAAAAATGAATTCGTATTGATGAACAATTACCAGACAAAGAGAATGAGTATATCCATTGAAATAGTATATAGAGCTTACCATAAAACAATGGCTTGTATAAGCGTCTGGAACGAGATGTTGGTTGTTTCTCACAGAAAGCAGTATGATTTGAATGTTTCTTTGTTCATTGTATTTGATAAGAAACGATGGGCTATGATGGTAGTCAATGTTGATTGTTGGAATTAATATGCCTCACTTTCTAATTGGTCAATGAAAGTATTTTTTTCATCATGCCAACACGTTTGTCGTATGAGAACTCTAATTATCGTACATTTTTAGAAGAGATAATTTTAATTTAACGTTCTTTTATGTATACAAAATATGACGCTTTCGCAGAATTATCGTAGCTGTTTAATTCAGTTCTATATTTGAACTGAAGCGCTAATTTAAAAAATATTTCAGGTTTTAAAAAAACATCCACAGCTATTGAAAAATGTTTCCATTCTTGAAATCATTTTACTAGCTGATTCGTTTCTAAAAGAATTTCGCACTTTCTTTTTCTTCTTGTTGTGCGCCTGGCTGTTTAAAAGAAAAAAATTTTTTTTCCCAACGGTTCTCAAATCTTTTCACTAACTTTAATAATTTTTATACTGCTAACTTTTAATCAGTCCCAATATCAGCAGTATTACTAAACCTAATATTGCGACAATCGAACCAGTGATGTGAATCATTGAGAGTTACATCCAGTTTTATCCGTCTCTTCTATAGACCGCTTCATCTGAACAATTAGCTGGTTAAAATAAATTGCAGATCCGTATGCCAATGGCTACGCGAATTCATCAATTAGCGCTAGAATATCTTGAAACGGTGTTGCAGTATGAATAGCTACTCCGAAAAATATATTCAACGTGAAAAAATACATGGCAAGTATTTAAATAGCTCTTGATGAATTACATATATATGGTTGCTTTGACGAGCTGTCTATATATTCAAAGACTTCCATTTTTTTCATCTGGGAACTAGTATGCCCATCTGAAAGTTGTAAAGATTCTTTCGAACTAATGAATATTTTCCAAGAACATGATGAGCATTAGTTCAGAAGCTGGTTTTTGAGCATTTCTTCCCAGTTCATTACAGCTGCGGATATGGCAAGTGAGGAAAAAATACTGACTATCTCTCCTTTGTAACACGAAGGAGGGTAGTAGAGAGAAGTCGCCAGTTAATAGGTGTCTTTCTCTTGAGAGTGGTGATGAGGACAGCCTAACCCAATTGTCATCCCTTTTAGGGTGTTAATTTATCTTTACTTTACGAAATAAACATAAACGAGTTCTTTATTTTTAAAAACAAAGAGAAAATAAAGAATAAAGAAAGATCTTTTCAGTGATAAGTAAATAGATAAATACCTAATGTAACAACAGGATATGTTAATCAATATTCTTTCTTATCATCAACATCACTTCGACCATGTGATATAATTAAAAACTCAATCTTATACATAAGAAGTATAGGCAAAAAACTGTTCTATCTATTTCATTTTCATCTATAATATCATAATTTTCTGTGGATTTCTTGGTAAAAATTAAAGATTAGGTTCTCATAAAAAAAGTTTCTTTATTATTTATTTTACCTTTATTTTATAACGATAGACAAGAACAAACCTTGACGTTTATTTTATACATATAAATATTTTGTTTATCTTTATTTTTTCAATATATAGACTTTTATTTATTACTTGTGTTTATTTCTCAAATAAAAGAATTTCTTTATCTTATAAAGTAGAGAATTTTATTTACATTTATCCTTTATTATAGATAATAATTGTTATGACCTACATCTGCTTCAGATGTAGTCATAAGGATTTTTCCTATTTATCTATATGATTATACCTATTCACTTATGTTCTTCTTCTTCTTTCCTCTTGCTGCTAGTCATCTTTCAAGGATTTTTCCCTTTCCTTTTATACATGTTGGAATTTTCCATTTCGTTCTATTATTCTGTCTGTCATATTGTTCTATAGATTTCCCTTGTTCATCGTTTATTGGAAATTTCCAACTCCTTCTATCACTTCTATATATAGAGTGTTATGTTGTTACGTAGAGAGAGATTATTCGTTCATCCTTAGATACAGTTATACAAATAAACAAGAAGCGGGATTTACATCTCACAATAATCAACATAAAATAACACCATTAATCCCTTCATACTTCGAACCCATTTTTTTGCGCAAGATACTACTATTCCCATTGGTTTTCAGTCTTTATCTAGTGAATCTTTCCGTATGTCTAACTTTGGCCCACATTATGCTTTCTTAATACACTTTCTTTCATATTTCGAATCCATTTTCCCGATAAAAACTAGTATTATCACTATGGATCTTTTTTCTTCGCTGGTAGAGTATCGACATAACTAATTAATTGTTGACGAAAGGATTTTTCTCATAGATTAAATCATTTTTTCGTTTTGCGAAATCATTTTTCCTATAGAAGATAACATTCTTTCTATTGCTTTTTCATTTTCTCGCCGATCGTTCGCTTAAGTTTGTATAACGTATTATATGCTGTTCGTTAGTTGAGCTGTCATCTACTGAAGAGGATCATTTTTGACCTGAAGGTGCTAGTAGCGTTTAAAATATTCGTTTTTGTCACCGATCGGAAAGTTGTCCAACCCTCAAGGTGCCAATTTTTTTACCAGTTTGTAGAACAAATGAAACTGCATATAACATGAAATTTTCTTGGTCACCCGGCTTTCTTTGATAGAGTTACGATTTTCACAAGTTACATGATCTTTCGGACCCCTCGACAACTGGAAAATTTGGAAAATTTTTCTTAAGAAGAGTTCCTTCATAAGGATGTGGGGGGGGGGGCATGTGTATGGATGTGTATCTCATTTCGAAATTAATTCGCACCCACATCCACACCCCTTCAGTTGCATTGTTTATACAAAATACATGTCAAGATGGATGCATATGAATGTAGGTCACTAGAAGAGCATTCAAATCCACACCTACGCCCGAGTCGAAACCTTCATCGTACAATGAGAAAGTGTTAACTCAATATTTACAGCTGAGATTTTGATGACGACTGGAAATTAGTCGGTTGGAGACTTTCAGGCTCATACCACTTGATCGTTAAAACCATAGAAATAGTTAAAAACGAGCAAAATATATCAGCTTTAGTACCACGAAAGCTAATAGAAAGCCAGTGAAAGTCAACGATTGTAAAACTTCAACCGAACCCGATCGACCAGGTTCTAAATATAACCCACATCAACATCATCTTTGTGCTACGTAACCATAGTATTGATCTTGCTAATAACTTTGATTGAGCCTACAAACAGAATTATACCAATATAAGCTTAGAGTGTAAATTCGAATATCTCTTTTCAATGCAACAAAATAGTCAAAATTCAGGATTTGTCAATCATAATTCTCCTCCGACACTGTTGAAAGCAATGCTAATCCAGAGTTAAAACATTGATACTCATTGTCTTTAGAAAAAAAAAACAAAAATACAAGGGACATGACAACAGAAAAGAATCGAAAAATATTTTGATATGCTTCTATAAGCATATTGTCCGCTTATAGCGAATGATTACAAAGGCAAATGCTTTTCTTTTGTTTGGTGAACACGAAAAATCCATTTGTAGAAACCTTAAGAGCGCAATGAAGAAACACGAAATAAAAGCAAGAGGCAACTGTTAATGCATATACTCTCACATACTCTAACAGTCATGCGAACAAATAAGATAACTTCTATTAAAGCTAATAGAAGATAACTTTTATCAAAACCAATACAAAGGCGATTTCTGATGTATCATCAAAAACCAAACGATCACCGTACCATCATTCTTGAACGAATCGACACTCGAATGATTCTTTTTCTTATTCGTTTCTCCAGCCCCCCCCCCCCCCCTCCGATCTACTGAAAGCAGTTTCAGTCATTTTCTGTGTGATAATTACTGCAGCAGCCGGTGCAATCATCCCTGCTATTGTCGTATCTAAAATTCACCAAACTACAACATCGACCACGGTGACAGAAGGTCAATACTTTCCTAATCATATTTTTCTTTTTTATGTTCAAAAACTTTTGCAGTGACATCAGCAATCGGATCAAATAACACCACGGTACATGAAAAGATATTCATCACATTTTCCGTCGAAAGGTTATTTTTATAGAAATCAAAACGGGCGCGATCCACCGCCCTGATGATGTGGATGGGGGTGGGATGGGTTATCCTTTCTCTGAAACACCCACACCCACACCCTTTTTGGAACAATCTTCTTTTTCGCACTTTTTTAAAGCGGATTAGACTGATCGGATGCAGAAAACACCTTTGACCAAAAACAAATCTCAATTGTTACCTATAACGTTGCAGATCCAGCTTATTTTCTCGGACCATTTTCAGACAATTTCTCATCTGATCACAAAATTTTGAGCTCAGATTTTGCCCATAAATAGGGCTCCACTAGACTAGCACAACCTTCAAAGGATTCTTTTTTCATTGACTTGTGGCGGAAATATGAAGACTTTAAGGATTGTGTGCTATTGTAGTTTTAGCGAAAAAGGGTGTGGGTGGGCGAGGGTGAGAATGAGTGAGAGTGAAAAGAACTCTGTTGACTTCGTACTCACCCACCCATCCATACTCATATACACTCATCCTCACCCACACCCACACCCACACCCATACCCACACCCATACCCATATCCACCCACCCTCGTCCGTAACCTCACCTTCAATATCTTTATTTTACACTGCAAAGTAAACTTGCTAGTCGTATTTTAAAAACAGAAATCGTACTCACTTTTCGCATTGTTATGACAGTCGAGAAGTCTTGATGGTTGCTGGCTGCTAGGGTAACAATTGAAATGACGGCCATTTTCGAGCCTACTGTAAGAATTTTGAATAAAATTTTCATTATTGGACCCATATTTGATCTAAGATTGGAACCTCTTGTACTGTTCATCGAAAAATTTGATCATGTTCGGATCAAATTATCGCTCTCACCGCTAAACGAACAAATTTAAAATATTAGATACCCTTAGCGTACTTAAAGAGAGATATTTGATTTTTAAGGTTTACACAGTACATGGAATATGACCATAGTTGAAAATTTTGTCTTAATTGTTTTTGTTTTCTCGTCATAGCTAGATAAAGCTCGCCGAGCTTTATAAGAAAAAGTACATTTTAACTTTTAAAAACATACTTCATGAATGTCACAACTTTGAATCTACGTTCTCTAATATTGAGAATAGTTGTATCTTGAACTTTTTTCATTAAATATGTTTTTAAAAGTTAAAATGTATTTTTTCTTATAAAGCTCGGCGAATTTTATCTTGCCATGACAAGAAAACAAAAAACAATTAAGACAAAATTTTCAACTATGGTTACATTCTATATACTGTGTAAACCTTAAAAATCAAATATCTCTCTTTAAGTACGCTATGGGCACCTAATATTTTAAGTTTGTTCGTTTAGCGGCGAGAACAATAATTTGACCCGACTACGATCAATTTTTTCGATGGACACTACAAAATGTTCCATTGTAAGGAATAAAGTGATAAGTGTATTCCACGTATTTTTTTTTATTTGTCTTGCTTTTTCTTTCTTTCTTTTATTTGCACAAGTAACGATAATAACAACGTTATCGAAAAAAAATGTGAGGAGACGAGCGAAGAGACGTTCTTTGTTCACTTTTTGCGATACTTTGCCCGTCTGCACGTGGAGTCTTTTTCTTGCTTTTGCGCTGCATTTTTTCTACTATTCACCCACAATCAAGTATCAAGATGGTGTTCACTATTATTGTACATCTACATGTGAAGAGCGAACATGTAGAAAAAGTGAAAGCAAAATTGATAGAAGCAAGTTGCGTTTATACCAAGGATAAAGGAACCATCGACTGGTTCGTTAGCCAAGGTAAAAATAATGTATTATTCTGCTTTTCACATGAAGATACCATCTATCATTCTCAAATAGATGTGGCAGATCCAACCAAGTTTGCCATCGTAGAGCGGTATGAGCAGCAGAGTGATCTGCAGACTCATATCAACAATCCATACTATAAACTGTTCGGTGCATATGTGAAACCACTTTTATCGAAACCCTTGGTATGTTATCATCTCAATTACTATAACTCTCTTCTTATTGCTTCTGTTGAGACTAGGAACTTCACAGCGTTGAAGAATTGGATACGTCAAAAGAAGTTGAGGTTCCTCCACAAACATGGTCGGATGAAGCAGACAACTAAGCTTCTCTTTTAAAATTGTCTTTTTACTTACAAATTCTCTCAAAACATTATTCGTCTTGCCACTTTCGCGAACTTTATTTGTGTGATTCAATATGCTTAACCAGTTTTCTGTTCTTAGAATTCCTTCAATTTTAATTAACAAATTGATTTATTTTAAACATGCAACAGGGTGCGCAGACATCAATCAATATGAAAGTTTTGATACGAGGGTGGGTGTGGGTGTGGGTGTGGTTGAGACAAAAGACCCCACTGACATTCACATTCACATTCACATCCACACCGATACCGACACCCCACACCCACACCCAAATGTTTTGGTGTTTATTCATTTATTCATTTCAATCAAAAATTTCATGTTCATAGAAAGAAAATTTCGGAAGTTCTTAAGAATAGAGACAAGAAATTTCTATTATTCATCTTAAAATGTTTAGGCTTCTCTAAAATTATATGAAAAGATTTTTTTTTATTAAGAAAAAATGTTGATGTACACGTATTTAAAACGGTGCACATCAATACACGAACTACTCCAAGTAAAACAATCAGACTAAACGAAACTACAATGTTTATAGTTATCCTCAAATAAATAGTTTTTTTTCGAATTCTTTTGCAACACTTAAGACATGCATTTATTCTGAGTCAGATCAATTCCATTTCTAATGCTCGATATCGGCTGAAACTGAAACTGGATTAGAATTAACCTATGTTAACAAGAGTCTTCCTTTCATCCACACCTACAAAAAATGCCGTAACCATTGATATCTACGCTCATACCTAATCACGATCAATCTTTCACTTGTCTTGGAAATATTTACAGATACATACTAGATTGGAAAGAAAAGAAAAGATAGAAAACTGAATCAAAGAGATCACTGGCTAAAAACAACATGTATGAAATGATCAGTAGAATCGGTTTCATGTCTGTTTCAATCGCTTCGAATGTCTAAATCATATTGACGCTACTTGGGCATGATCTAATACCTTGTTTCTGCTTTTGAAATCATTCGAATAAGTTGCTCATCACACCAAAATGAATAACAACAAATATTAAAAAAACATTTTATATTTTGAGTGTGTTGATTGGGCTTGTAACTGCACATGTAACACAATTTGCTCGCCTGATCGAATTACTGATATTTTTTTAGCTTGTCATAGAGGCAGCTTTATACACTTTCTATCGTCCGTTAATTTGTATATTTTTCTTCATTTTTTTGATTTTTTCAACGGCATTCAATCACAAAGGCTCTATACAAGATACGTACATTATACATGCCATGGTATGCATGGATGAGTTGTAATGAATGAATTTTGCACGTGAAATAAAAATAAAATGTTTATATTTCAATAAATATCAAAAAGCAAAAGAAAAAAGAAAAAGCTACGCTGTTGTTATTTTTTGAGACTCGTCTTATGAAATAAATTTCAATTACTATTCACACATTATTGTTGACAATCGAGTAATTTCAATCGTGCATACTCATTTTCATATGCTTGAAATATTTTGCTCTTGAAGCAATGCTAATTTAATAACATGAAAACATCAAAAGGATTGAAAGCTTACAAAGGATGATATATGATTTAATATTTACAATAAATACATATTTATATGCTTATAAACTAACACTTTGATGTACTCGCTTTGCATAAAATAAATGACGCAAAATTCAGGGTGTGGGTGTGGGTGTGTGTTGGATGTATGTTCGTGAGAGTGCGTGCAGCTGTTCTTGTTTCTACGCCACTCTAACTCCCACACCCACAGCTATACAGCAACACCCACATCACACCCAGACCCACACCGAAACCCACACACTCACACCCACCCAACCACACCTACACCCCACAAAGAAAAATGTATATTTAGTTTCTTAGATGTATCCAACCATGACACCGATCATCATTCATTCCAACGAGTGTCTTCCTGTGCTCATTTCAGCATGCAGCCCTTTTCTTTTCAAGGATTGAGCAGATTTCATCCAATTAGAATGCATAGATATCTTCCAAAAACACTCTATTGTCAAAACACCAAGTATCTGACTGCTTCCGCTACAAAATGATGTTTTCATGGGTTTTGACACCAAAGCATGTTTAACCAGTAAAATAAAGCGAAATGGTTTTTAGATTCCGTTTTCTGTTGTCAATCCTGTAGACGTGACCATTTTTCTCGTGGTGAGATTGACATAGTAATAATAAACTACTTGCAAAAAAGTATTTTTTTTCTGTTTTTGTCTGTTCAAGAGATTTTTTTTATATGATACCAACAATGGATACATTCTTCATTAGTTGCATCACTTTTTATGCTCGGAAGTGGAGTCTTCGATCATTGATATGCGATTCTACAGAATCCTTGTGTCAGGCATGTGTAGCTGTTGTTTGATGAGTCAACACTGGCATTAGTATTAGAATAGTCCCAATTAAGAATTTGAGATGTAGAGATTTCACAAAGTGGAAAAAGGTAGGTGACTTCATAAATCGTTTTTTTGTCCCATACTCAAAGAAAATTATATTGTTTATTTTGTTGAACTTTCTGAATTTTGACCTTCGGTAGAGTAATTTTAGGTAGATATTCATTTTAAGATTTCAGCCAGAACAATAAACTATGACACAATAAGACGCAAAAGATATGGTCCATTCACAATCGTTCGTCTAGAACATAGCAACTTTTGCTCTGTATTACATTGAAAATTATGATCATAACTATCAATGTTGTCACTAACCTTTATTAATCAACAGCTGATGTTTTATGCGGGCTCGTTTTTTTCAATTATGGGCACATTAGGTTGCGTTATCCAAATTTTAATTTTTGCAACGATAGCCCGTTATCGGATAAATCCGTGTATATTCTATTTTCTCCTTGCTGCTGTACACGAGTGCGGTCAGTTCGTATTTAGTCTTGTTCCACAAATCGTCGGCACTGCTCTAAACATAAGTTTCATTAACATTTCTCCAGCATGGTGCAAACTCCGCTACGTTTTTACTAGTAGTTGTGGTATTATTCCTTTAACATTTACATGTTTGTCTACTGTCGATCAATTTTTAGTCACATCCCATAGTGTCGGATACCGTCAATGGAGTAACATTAAATTTGCTCATCGTGCTTCTGCTTGCGTTGTTATTGTCTGGTGGCTACATGGCACTCTTTGGATTTTCTATCAAGATATATCACCCATCACGGGCGTATGTGAATACACCAGTAATGGCTTCCATATCTATGGAATCATTTTTATTCTTGTCATTCTTAATGGTTTTCATACTGTAATTATAACTGTATTTGCAATTTTAGCTTACCGCAATATACGCATGTCAAAGGTTCTCTTACATCAAAATGTCGATCGACGACTGACAAGAATAGTTTTCTTTCAAGTCGTTGTTATTTTTATTGGTCTCATTCCGTTCGGAATCTACACAGTATACATGATCGTTACGACCAATGTTCAAAAGAATGATGATCAAAAGGAGAAGGAATCATTGGCTTTCAATGTCAGTTTTCTTTTTGGTTCAATTCTCTATGGAGTACGTTACGTCAATTGAAAACTAAATAAATCCTTTTTCTATATTATTGGTATATGTTTAGGGACGATTCTACATTTTAATGTGCGCATCACCTCGGTTTCGTTGTCTGTTGAAGAAGTCTATATTATTCTGGCGACGACGACAAGACATTACCTCGTCTGTAATGTGAACTCAATCGTATCAAAAACAGTTGTTATTCTTCTACGGAACTTCAATATACAAAGGAAATGTGTATTCATACTTTGCTTTGAAATGAAATTGGCTGTTGGGGTGTGGATATGTGGGTGGGTGTGGAGTGTGGGTGGGTGTGGATGTGGGTGGGTGTGGATGTGGGTGTGGGGTGTGGGTGTAGATGTGGAATGTTTGTGGGTATGTCGGTATGGATGTGAGTGAAGAAAATAGATGCACACTCACAATCACACCCACACTCCATACCCATACCCTAAAATCAGCTTCAAAAGACTTTTTCAAAATAAAAGATATTGGATAAAAAAAATTATCTTTTTGATAGACGATACGAATCGCTAAGTTCTGTATTCACTCGTATTATTTTGTTGTTTGAGCCTTTCATATATTTGCAAATGTGTGTCTGTTTTAATGCATAGTGTTCATTTAACTTTGATAAATAATAATAGGAGGACAAGGTCGAAAAAGTATTTAAATTCTACTTTTGTATTCAGTGGAACTTGTTTTTTGAAGTATCTGTTCGCCTTTATTCATGATTCCTTTGATATTCTTGTGTGGTATCAATAAAAATGGAGTAGACATTAATTCGAGAATGCAATATAATATTATAAGTGTGTGCTTAAGAGTTTTCATGAGTTTTATAATTTCAAAAATGCTCGTTAATGATTCTAAAGCTGATGGGAATAAAGAAAAAAGTGTTTTCTTACAAAATGTTGTTTTACCTTGACGTGTAACTTTAAGGAATGTATTGGTAATGTACCTTTTTTCGTCCTCACAATTACTCATCGTTTTGGAGATCGTCTATTGAAGAGAAGAGTAATGTCTTGCTCGTTTTGATATCGTCGAAAGCCTTTAAGAGCCATATTCTTATTCGTAGCATAATAAGCAGAAAAAT